CCTTCCTTTGGACACATTCTCATCCTTTACCCTCACTCTTCAGCTGTGGGGCCCAGAGCAGCACACAGAGCCCAAGGTGAGGCCGCACCGAGGCTGTGCAGTGGGACAGTCACCTCTGTGACCGGCTGGTGATGCTGAGATTGATGCACCCCAGGAAGGGGTTTGTCCTCTGGGCTGCCAGGGTGCACTGCTGACTCCTTCTGAGCCTGCTGCTGACCAGCACGCTCAGATCCCTTCCTGCAGGGCTGCTCTTGAGCCATTACTCTCACAATTTATGCTTGTCCCTGCGTTGTTACATCCCAGATTTAGAATCAGTCATGCAGGCTTGTTCAGTTTGATCCTGAACAAGTGCTCCATTCTGTCCAAATCTATCTGCAAGGCTTTTAATTCAAACGGCATCTCCCACTTTGGTATCCTCAGTGAATTTTGCTAATGGTTCATTCAATTCCTGCATCCAGATTATTGATTAAAGTAGTGAACAAAACTGGCCCTAGAACTGAGGGATCATCATTGGTGACAGGTCAACAGCCAGATGTAGCCCCATTCTGTACAGCCCTTTGAGCCCTGCCCTTCAGCCTCTAGCTCACTGTGTATCTGCTTATCTTGGAGAATGATGCCATGAGAAACACTGTCATAAGCCTTACTTAACTAAAAACCAGTATCCCCCACTTACTTTTCCTTCACTGTGGGTGGATGATCTTAGACAAAGGTATCAAACAGGACTTTCCCTTTGTGAACCCATGTTGACAGTGCTTGATGATTTCATTGTTCTTTCAAAGCCTTTCAGTAGTACCTGGAATGATGCTTTCCATTAGTTTTGTAGAAACTGAGATTAGACTAACAGATGCATAGATTCCCAGGTCTTCTCTCATGCCCTTCTTGTAAATTGGAATAACAGTGCCTAGCTTTCAGTCAGCAGGGACCTCAGCCACTAATTTTTCAAGAAGTAAAGCTAGTGATTTAACCTCCTTAAGAACACACACTTGCCTTTTGTTCAGACAGTTAACTAACTTACTTGTTCCTTAGTATTGATATATTTTGGAAGTGATATATTTTGGGGTGATATTCAAAGTTTAAATATAGACAAGTCAGCTAAAACAAACGACCGATGATTTTTTTTTTCAAATTTATGCAAATGCACCTAATTCGGTTGTGTGGAGTTGTAAATTATACAAATACAGAATCATTGAATGGTTGATTTTTGAAAGGATCTCTGGAGGTCATCTGGCCCAACCAGCCTGCTAAAGACAGCCCATCTAGAGTTGGCAGCCCAGGGCCATTCCTGCATGGTTTCCAAGGAGGTGGACTCCACAGGTTCCCTGGGTAAGCTGCTCCAGTGCATAGTTGCACTCGCAGTAAAAAGTTTCCTGCTGTTTAGAGAGAATCTCCTGTGTTTCACAGTGTGTCCATTGCCTCTGTTCCTATCACTGGGCACCACTGAAAAGAGCCTGACTTCATCCTCTTTGCACCTCCCCTTCAGTTATTTGCAGACATTAAAAAAATTCCCCGTAAGGTTTATCTTCTCCAGGCTGAACAGTCCCAGCTCTCTCAGTCTTTCTTCCTGTGAGAGATGTTCCAGTCCCTTGATCATCTTTGTGGCCCTTTGTTAACTCTCTCTGGTGTGTTCATTTCTATTATACTGAGAAGCCCAGAAGTGGACCCAGCATTCCAGGTGTGGCCTCAGCAGTGCAGAGCAAAAGGAAAGGATTGCTCACGTCCTTGCACCTCCTGGCAACTTTGTCTCATGCAGCCCAGGATACCATTTGATTTTTGTCAGGCAGTGTAAAAAATACTTAAATACTATTAATGTGTACAAAAATATCTGCACAAGATGGTTCTGGTCTACAGGAACAATATAAGTGGAGCTTTTTTTACAGCACTTAGTGCATCCAATAAGGGAAGAAATGGTCTATGTGGGGCTCAGCTGCAATACTGCATAGTTAAATAAGGTTTCGGGGTTTAGAAGTATACATGTGGAGAATTTTGTAATTTATGTGCTTTCACTGTTACGCATAGACAGTATGTGTTCTGCAAAAAGTTCAAATTGCATAAAAATAATGAAATTAATGATTTTGAAATCTTTTTTCAAAGTGCTTGTTTTGTGGTGATTACATGGTAATGTTCAATATGGCAGTGCATTATTTTCTGAAAAGGGGATTTTGTCTAGGGAAGGTGGGTGTACTTTCTTGGGTAAGGCTGGAAATTCATTGCATCCTTCTAAATATTATTACATATTAAAGCCAAACATTTTGTTTAAGTATTATTGTGCACATGCTTGGCCATGTTTAGCAACAACATAAGCAGTAGTGATTTTAGTGACTGCATCATGTTATATAGATGATGATTATACAAAGCACAGGTGCATAAATCTAGGATGATTAGAGGCTGGGATTGATGTCTTAGAACAGTGTAAGTCTGTTCTTCCTTCTTTTTTCCTATGCTTCCTTGCTAGTGCTGTTTGTGATAAACATGACTTGTGCTCTCTGCCTGCTACTTAGATTTGGTATTCACTTCTCTGGGCTTTTTTGACCACTGTGTGTATTTGCATGTGTAAATACTTTGTTCTTCTATAGTATTTAGCTATGCTAGAGCTTTACTTTGCTGAGGGTCCCAAGCTTGGGCATCAGGCTGCAGTACTCCAGAATTCTCTTTTGGTTTGCTGGATTCTCACTCCATAGCTTCTTTGCCAGCTTTTGGTTCCAGTGTTCTTTTAGCCTCTCCTTTTGAGAGCTGGATTTTGCCATGCAGCTACAAAACCACTTCTCCATCTTGAGCTGATGATCCAAAGATGTCCATGTGGTTAATTTTTCAGGAACTAAAGCTAGAGGTTTACCTCCTTAGTAGAGCAACATATTGAAGAGAGATCTCTGCTATGTCCTCTAAGCACCATTTATCATAATACTTGTTTATAGATTAAAGTGGGAAGGAAGTTTTATGCTTGTCTTGCTACACGTTTGTCAGCGCTCAGGATCATTTTCTGTTGCATGTTCAGGATTAGCTACATGGAAATCTTTGGAGATTCAAGGCATTGCATTGTTTCTGAAACTCTGTGGGTTTGGCAAAGCTTAAGCAGGAGGTGTTGCACTCAGCATGTCTTAAACCATTCAAGATATACAGTGTTAAATAGCCAGAGTTTAAATTGCCTGAAGTATGAGTTTGCAATTAATCACAGTTTTAGTGATTCACCATAGAATTTTAGCTCACATATTGAGGATTGTCTCTTTCTCTGGATATCCTTTTGACCATACTTCTGCTTATTTTACAGTTGATGTGAAATACCAGATCAGGTAGATGGTTTTACTCCCATGGCACAATGCCAGGAAAGTTGTCTTATTTGAGCTGTGTATTAACAGGGTTTTCAGTTTTTCTGGCATGCAGTCCATTGAAGCATCATGGCAGTCAGCATAAAGTAGTACAAGTAAAGGCTTTGAGCAGTGTGTTGCTGAATAGAAACACTGAGAGATCTCAGAGAGAAATGGTGGGGAAGGAATGCATAATGCCCAGCAGAGGCAATAACTGCTTGACTGGGAGCTAATATACCACCATCAATTTCATCCTCTGCTTGCACAGGAAAAGGTTTATAAAAGTCTCTGGAACCCTTTGAGTATATCAACACATGCACTTTTTTAAAAGCAATGCAAATTTGAGCAGCAGCTACTTTGCTTTGTCTTTTCTTTACTGTACCTGAGTTGAATCCAGGAGCTGTTTTGTTGGAAAAATAATTGGGCAGACAGGTTTGTTTTCAACGAGGATCTGTCTGTTGGAGTTGTTTAGTGGAAGGGCTGAGACACAGTGTGAATTACTGCTGTAGGTTGCAGGGAAAGGAGGGACTCTGGAGCTTAGGAATGGTGTTTAAATAAATGTATGTATAACTGTGCCCTTGGACTCCACACCTAGGTTTTATGAGACTGGATAGAAGCTGCAACAGGGAAGTGGTTCTGTTTGTTAAATAATTAAAATTTGTTATGAGCAGCTCAAGTGCAGATAATCTTGCTGACTAACATTTTTTTTCCCTTTTTGTTGATTCATTCTTTTGGCATAGAGTGATTGCAAGTGGGTTTTTTGTTTCTTACAGGCTTTTGATGGTGGTTGTTTCTTGGAGGAAGGTGTGGATGGATGTCAACCAACACTTTCAGAACTGAAATTGGAAGGAATTACTATTGCTTAATTTAATTTCTGTGTAGGATTGGAAAAGGAGAGGAAAGAGGGGAAAAATGCAACCCAGTATTGCAGCCAAATCAGAGTATTCATCTTCAGTTTTGCAGTTTCTTGCATTTCTGAGAATATGTGAAGTTTGTTTAGTTCTTACATTGAAGATCAGTGTACTGTAATTAATTGGTATTTCAGTTGTATGGATAACTTCTTTGTATTTCCTTGAGCAACTTCATCACATGGAATGAATTATATGTGCATGTTTTTGCTTTTAGTCGAGAACAAATGCTCATGAAAATCTGAGAAGTGTTCTCAGAGGGGTCTGGTACCTGAAAAAGAAACTCTTGCTGTTTCTCTGATAACACTTTTTCAGGAGCTTGTGTGTTCCTATTGTGTTGATCTAAAGTGATGAGGATAAACAACTGCTAACTGTTGACTTACTCAAGAGTCTGTGTTGTTTATGAAGCAAGTAAAAGAAAATACATCTCAATTTTTTTCACTCTGTTGTGTTTTCTTTGGTAATGAAATGTCTGTCAGCTTGTTGCCAGTAGACTTCTTGCAATTTATTGTAGCATTTGTGATGGCATGTGACTCTGCAGTGTATTAGTGTTAAGAGAAGCATTTTGGCCTGTCAAGTCTACACAACATCTTTTTTTTTCTATAGTTGGCATTAAATAATTTATTTTTCATTAATTTTTTTAGCTTTAAAACAGAAGTTTTTCTGGTCTACTAAAGAAAAGAGAAAGTCAAGCATAATGCTTTTTCTAATAATCACTATGAAATGATGTTGATTTAAGTAAGTCAAATATATGCACTTCATGTGTATACCTGAAAATGTTTTCTTGCAGCTAACTGAAGATGAAATTGCAACTATTTTGAAATCCACTCTTAAAGGACTTGAATACTTGCACTTTATGAGAAAAATACATAGAGATATAAAAGCTGGAAACATCCTTCTTAACACCGAGGGACATGCAAAATTAGCTGATTTTGGTGTGGCTGGCCAGTTAACAGTAAGTAACTGTGGAAAGATCATTTAAAAATTCTATAGTGCTCCAAACCTTGTTCTTTCACCTTTGTCTTTTGCCTTGAATTTTGTGTCTGAGCGGTGTTACTGCCACTGGTGGTAGTGGCAGAACTAAGATTCTTTATCATGGTGAGTATTTAATGTAGTGCAGGGCTATTTGGTTTTTAGTTGTTTGTTTTTATAATCCAGTGTATCAAGTGCCTGATGATCCCTTTAAATCTTAGCTTGATGTTTGATTATTGTCACCGCTTCAGTAGGCTTATGGGCTGAATCTGTTTGGTCTTAATTGGAAGGCACTACCAATGGACCTTTGGGTGGATAATTTAACTTTTAAATACAGAATTTATATAAAAATAATCAGAAAATAAGCATCTCTGGTTTAATTGGATAAATAATATAATTACAGGATACAATGGCAAAACGTAATACCGTTATAGGAACTCCCTTTTGGATGGCTCCTGAAGTCATACAAGAGATTGGCTACAACTGTGTGGCAGACATCTGGTCCCTTGGTATAACATCAATAGAAATGGCTGAAGGAAAGCCTCCATATGCTGATATTCACCCAATGAGGGTAAGTGTGTTTGTGGCATTGTTTGTTTTATTATTAGAAAAAACAAACCCTCAAACCCACAAGACATTCAAACCCCCCTAATACTGGAATCCTGAAGCTGTATGTTTATGAATAGAGATTTTAATACTAACAATTTTTGCTTCCTGTATTGCTTCCTCTTGACTTCAGTTTGCCTGTGTTTTAACTTGTTTCCGTAAGGTTTCAGAATGCCTTTATCTCCATTTGAGGGGAAGCTGCAGCAGGAAGCTCTTAATTGGCTTTGGGGTAATATATGGAATCTGTTTCATACTGTAACTGCACTTGGAGACTTCCATCACCAAGAGTCCCTCTGCTTTTGAAAGGCAGTTTTGAAATAATGGTGACCTAAAGAGGAATTCAAAACTGTCCTATGGGAGCAGTGCTAATATTACTATTAGTAACACCTGACAGCTTTTATTTATTAGTGACTCCTTAAGTCTCTTACTGAATAAGTTTACTTTTTTCAAAATAAATAGTAAAGAGAATTAGTTGCTTTGTGAGGAGTAGCAGTTACAAAGGAATTACTTGGAGAAGTTAACGAGGAACAATGTTTATCTAGGGATAACTTGACATTGTTAGTCATGGTGTTATTATTTTGTAATGAGCTATAGAATAGCTGTGCTGATTGCACTGAGCATCAATAAACACTCCATTCGTAAATTGTTTAAAACGCATTTTGAATTAAGAAGGCACTTTATATTGCTTTAAGCATACCTTTTTCCAGAAAAATCTTTGTAATTTGCAGCAAAATTGTCATACATACTAAATTATTTTATTCAGTTTTCTTTTTCTGGTGCCTCATGTATCAGAATCTTACTATAAAGAGGCCACCACTATAGAAAGAGAAGATTCTGTTAATATACAATCACTGTAAGGTGATGCACATCTGAATTCAAGTGTATTTAGTGCTATTTTAGTTTGTGGTGTTCTTGATTTTTGATTGTATGTTCTCTTTGGAGGAGAGATGTCTCTTGAAATTTCTGTTAAAGCTGGTGGGTGATTTTCATTTAGAAACACTACATAATTTTGGAAGCAAAGTTTAATAGTTTTCCTGCACCATATTTTTTTTCTATGTAATTAACTGTTTTAAAATTATATTTCAAACTAAAAATACTCAGGTGAAAGCTGAGAACAAAGTAAGTATCTCTGAAGCTGGATTTTGATGGGAATTAAAGTTAAGATGAAATAACCTCTGAAAATATTTTGAAGAATGATGACAAATTAAATACACTTGATCATGCTAGTATTTTTGGTTATACTTCTAACAAAAATGCCTTGATTACATCTCAGTAACATCATTGTATGTAGTTGCAACAGCTGTTGAAAGGTGAGGACTACATTATCGTTGAGGATTTTTATGTGCATGACAAAAGCTGCTTATAAATCAAAGGTCACTGAGTTTGAATGCTTGTGAATCTGTTTAATTCTTGCAATCAAGTGAATGCTATCAAAGGCCAATGTAATATAACACAATTCTGGATTACATACAACATGTGTTCTTGTTAATAAATTACGTTATGGTTTTTAAGGGCTTGTATTTAGTTAGTACTCTTTTGTATATTTGATACCTCCAGTTTTTCTTAATTTTTATTAGTGAGTTGTTACAGTGGTTAACAAGAAATACACAGATTTAAGTTGCAATAGTTTTTCTGGTGTCATATGATACAGCTTCACAGGATTTTTGGCCATATGTAGATGCTTTGTTTTAGTTATGACACAGAATTGATACAGGCAAGCATGAAAGCTTGGGCAAATTTTCATTGCTTTTTCTAGATGTTGCTGGAGTTCTGTGGTATTTATGTAAGGCACAATTTTGTTGCCTGGGAATGCACAGTGAAATTTCCATGCACACTGTTTTGCTGTAGGCTGGTTGGCACTGCCACAAAGGTAATGCACTGCCAGTAGGCTATTTCCTTGTCAACTGCATTTACAGCTTAATAGAAATATTACATGACTTCTTTAAACAAGTGTTTTGGCAGAGAGGAAATAGCAGATTCCATGCAAACAAGCATAGCTTCCTCTGCTTAACCACACTCTGACTTCTCCTAAGAATTGTACTAGTTTCAGCTGGGAAGGAAGAAGTGGGGGGTGCAAAATGGAATTTCAGGTGGGAGGGGGAAGAAGAAACAGTTTTTTTCTGTTTAAGTATTCCTGTCATAGTGTATTTGACTGTGTCCTCCATGATATTTCACTTGTTATTGCTGCAAACCTGAGTTCAACAGGAGCTATACTTGTCACACTTGGTTTGAGGCTCAAAGGTCAAGAGCACTTGCCAACTCAGTAGTTGCAATGCTTTATTCACCTAAGAATTATGGACTACCTCACATATTTGATGTCAGAGTCCTTTTCTGCTTTTGCTAATGATGAAAAGCGAAACTTCTGTATTTTCTGTGTTTTTTTGTCAAAGGAGTGTTTTCAGGTAGTTTTAAAGGAGGGAAAAACACAGATGCCCTCAAGGTTACAAAACATGGTGATACAGCCACTAGAAATAGGAAGGAATTTGCTGATAAAAAAAATCACTCAAACCTAGATAATTTAACTCATCTAGCAGGGCTAAAAGCATTTTGATTGCAGTAGACTGTGCATCAGACAGGGTTAATGTGCAAACAGTGTTTGCATCTGCCTTTGATTGCTCTACTGTGATGAACAGTTAGCAATTTATAGTGGAGCTAATTAAAGGGAATTTCAATGTGGTTCTAGATCAAGACTCAATCTCTTCCTCTGAAGCTTAATGTTTTAACAGCTGAGTTCCCATGTCCCCAGCATATATGACTGCAGCATATATGCTGTAGTGATAAAATATTTATGTCCTACCCCAGACAAAACTTAATTCAAGCCATTAACTCTTTTGTTTGGTCACTCCTTTGCATGTGATATCTCTCCTTATTATTTCTAAATTCCCTATTTTTACTCTCTAACAAGAGCAGAGAATGGACTGTTTTACTTTAACAGTTGTGATTTTGCTTTTTTGCTAAAAACTGCTAACATGCTCATAAAATATCCTTTGTCTTTGCTACTCAAGCCATGATCTCAAATTGTCATCTAAGAATTGTTTTTGGTGGAACATCCTTTAAGCTGTGTAGTTTTCATATGATCCTTCTCCTGCTGATACTTGGCTTTAATAACAAGTAGATTAACAGCACTTTGCCATAAAGCTAGTCTTAAAACTTAAGCATGGCTCTTTTTGAAGTCCTTCTCTAGGCCACCCTTACTAAAATTGTTCCTCATGTTCATGCAATGATGTGATCAATTATTTCTGTAAGACTGAGATTTTTATGATCAATGTAAGTGTGGGCTGCTGCTGTTAGAGACATGCTGTCTGTAGCCAGGAGTTCCTGACCTTTCCATTAAGCAAACACTAACATTTTGTGGCCTCACATATATGGAGTTGGATAAAGCAGCTGATCTTCTGAAAAGTTAACGTGATAGAAACCTCCTAGAAGTGGGCCAGAGATGTTGTAGGAGCAGGTAGTGGACAGAGGAAATGGGTTGAGGGGAGTTACTGTTTTTGAGCCTTTTAGACCAGCTATAGAACTGCAATGTGTGTTGTATAAAATTTCCTCTTCTTTGTGAGGTCAGCAGTTACTGACAGGTTGTTGTGCTTCAAATAAATGTTGGTATCTCTCTTAGAAAAGACAAGGAAAAAAAAAAGCCCAGATTCTTCTCTTTCATGCTTATCAGGCAATAATTCACATTGTTGTGGCATGGAAGAAGCTGGTGCTAGATGTGTTTTTCAACACTTCACAGTATTGGTCTTTGTTTCTTTATGGTGAAGTTTGTTGGAAATGGACATGTGGGCATCACATGTTCTGCAGTGAATTGGAGGAAGCCAATTTGAACTGCTTCCATTTGCCTTAAGTTCAATCATGATATTTATTTTTCCATGGCACTTACCCAGATAATCCATGCCTCCTGCTTAGCCTGTGTCATTTCTACCCTGGACTAATCTGTTTGTAATAACCTTTTATTCCTGATGTATCTCATAACAAACTACAATTTCCCGGTTTTTTATTCTTGACATATTGCATTAAAACTGGAGATTGAAGTGAGAATTACTACTCTGTAGGGCTCTAAGAAAAAAGGAGGTATCATGTGGAGCATGGCAGTCATATTGGGGCCAGTTTTTCAGCCACTGAGAAGACACTTTCTGTATGCCTTTTGTGCTAGAAATTGAGGAGAGGAAAAAAGAAAAAACACTTCTGTCTTTCTGTATAGTCACTCTTGCATTTCTTCTCTCCAACAGATGGTGTTATCTCATTGGTTTCTGTTATTTTCTTTAAGAGTTCACCTATCTTATCTTAGCATTACAGCTTTTAAATTAGACTAGGTTTGTAAAAGTATATGGTTTTCTTATTTTAGTGCTTTTGCTTATCTTTACAAAGACTTTGATTAACTTCTAAAAAGTCCTTTACCTTTTAAGAACTTTCTATGAGACACTGTTAATTTGTAACTTGAGGTCTTCTTGTCTGCTGTGTCAAGATAGAGTGAGCTAATATTTAAAGAGTTTAAAATATAGATATTTGATTGTACATTACTGTTCATTATTTTACTACTCTTCATAATCTTGTGGAAGAATGACAGTGAGATGTTTTGAGGTGCACGTAACATGTTGCAGTGGGGACCTAAGACACTGATATAGCTGTGACAGCAGAGAAGTTAGAGAAGCATGTGTTCTGTTGCAGGGTTTTGAGAGGGCTGTTGTAAAACCTTTGGCCCTCTCTAGGCTTTAAATGGAATTTTTATATTTGCTTTATTCAGACCTAAATACAGGCGATGGGTGCAGAGGGGTGGTATTTCTGCCTGTTTCCATGCATTTTCAACATCCAATTCTACTGGAATGAGCTTTTAGGTGCTCACATGATAAGCTTGATGAGAGAATGGATCCCTCTGGAAGCTGACCAAGTAACAAGAAATAGCTTTCAATGATATTGTTAACAGGGTGCTCCAACTAGGTGGGAACAAAAATGTGTCCTAGGCTGGGA